GAGGTATGACAAAGCTCAGGAAGCAGAGAGGGAGAGGACCTAGTAGCGATCAGTGAAGAGGCGGGGCCAGGAGCTGAGACTCGACCCCTGCAACCACAATTAGGTGAGTACAACACACACACACACACACACAACACACACAACACACACACACACACAACACACACAACACACACACACACACACACACACACAAACACACACACACACACACACACACAAACACATACACACAACACAACACACACACACACACAACAACACACACACACACACACACACACACACACACAACACACACAAACACAACACACACACACAACACACACACACACACAACACACAACACACACACACACACACACACACACACACACACACACACACACACACACACACACAACATACACACACATATACACAGATACACACAGAAACACACACACACACACACACACACACACACATAGCATCGAAAGTCAAGTCTGACCCGAAACTACTCTACAGCCACATCAGGAGGAAGACAACAGTCAAGGACCAGGTAATCAGGCTCAGGAAAGAAGGTGGGGAGCTCACAAGAAACGACGAGGAGGTATGTGAGGAGGTCAACATGAGATTTCAGGAAGTATTTACAGTGGAGGTTGAAGGGACAATGGGAAGACAAAACTGTGGCGTACAGCAACAAGGGATATACCAACAAGTGTTGGATGAATTACACACAGCTGAGGAGGAGGTGGAGACGCTCCTAAGTGACCTTGATACGTCAAAGGCGGTGGGACCGGACATCTCTCCGTGGGTCCTTAGAGAGGGAGCAGGGACACTACATGTGCCACTAACCAAAATCTTCAACACTTCTCTTGAAACTGGGCAACTACCTGAAGTATGGAAGAAGGCAAATGCAGTCCCTATCTTTAGGAAGGGAGACAGAAATGAAGCCCTAAATTATAGACCAATGTCACTGACATGTATAGTATGCAAAGTCTTGGAAAAGATTATCAGGAGGAGAGTGGTGGAGCTCCTGTAGCAGAACAAGATAATAAACGACAGCCAGCGCGGATTCATGGAAGGCAAATCCTGTGTCACAAACCTACTGGGGTTTTATGACAAGGTAACTGAAGTAAGAAATGAGAGGGAGGGGTGGGTTGATTGCATTTTCTTGGACTGCAAGAAGGCCTTCGACACAGTTCCTCACAAGAGATTAGTACAGAAGCTAGAGGAACAGGCACGTATAACAGGAAGGGCACTGCAATGGATCAGAGAATACCTAACAGGGAGGCAACAGCGAGTCATGGTCCGTGATGAGGTATCACAGTGGGCGCCAGTGACGAGCGGGGGGCCCACAAGGGTCAGTCCTGGGACCAGTGCTATTCTTGGTATATGTGAGCGACATGACGGAAGGGATAGACTCAGAAGTGTCCCTGTTTTTCAGATGACGTGAAGTTAATGAGGAGAATCAAATCAGACAAGGACCAGACAGGTCTACAAAGAGACCTGGACAGGCTGGATGTGTGGTCCAGAAACTGGCTCCTAGAATTTAACTCCGCCAAATGCAAAGTCATGAAGATCGGAGGAGGGCAAAGAAGACTGCAGACAGAGTATAGGCTAGGTGGCCAAAGGCTGCAAACCTCACTCAAGGAGAAAGACCTAGGAGTGAGTATAATACCGAGTACATCGCCAGAAGCACACATTAACCAGATAACTGCTGCGGCATATGGGTGCTTGGCAAACCTGAGAATAGCGTTCCGGTACATTAGTAAGGAATCGTTCAAGACTTTATACCTGGGAGTGATCATGTCGGAGGATCTCACCTTCAAGGACCATAACATTGTATCAATCGCATCTGCTAGAAAAAGGACAGGATGGATAATGAGAACCTTCAAAACTAGGGAGGCCAAGCCCATGATGACACTCTTCAGGTCACTTGTTCTATCTAGGCTGGAATATTGCTGCACACTAACAGCACCTTTCAAGGCAGGTGAAATTGCCGACCTAGAAAATGTACAGAGAACTTTCACGGCGCGCATAACGGAGATAAAACACCTCAATTATTGGGACGCTTGAGGTTCCTAAACCTGTATTCCCTGGAACGCAGGAGGGAGAGATACATGATTATATACACCTGGAAAATCCTAGAGGGACTAGTACCGAACTTGCACACGAGAATCACTCACTACGAAAGCAAAGACTTGGCAGACGATGCACCATCCCCCCAATGAAAAGCAGGGGTGTCACTAGCACGTTAAGAGACCATACAATAAGTGTCAGGGGCCCGAGACTGTTCAACTGCCTCCCAGCACACATAAGGGGGATTACCAACAGACCCCTGGCAGTCTTCAAGCTGGCACTGGACAAGCACCTAAAGTCAGTTCCGGATCAGCCGGGCTGTGGCTCGTACGTTGGTTTGCGTGCAGCCAGCAGCAACAGCCTGGTTGATCAGGCTCTGATCCACCAGGAGGCCTGGTCACAGACCGGGCCGCGGGGGCGTTGACCCCCGGAACTCTCTCCAGGTAAACTCCAGGTAAACTGTGTACGTCAGGCCCATACTGGAGTACGCAGCACCAGTTTGGAACCCACCTGGTCAAACACGTCAAGAAATTAGAGGAAGTGCAAAGGTTTGCAACAAGGCTAGTTCCAGAGCTAAGGGGAATGTCCTATGAAGAAAGGTTAAGGGAAATCGGTCTGACAACACTGGAGGACAGGAGGGTCAGGGGAGACATGATAACGACATACAAAATACTGCGTGGAATAGACAAGGTGGACAGAGACAGGATGTTCCAGAGGTGGAACACAGAAACAAGGGGTCACAATTGGAAGCTGAAGACTCAGATGAGTCAAAGGGATGTTAGGAAGTATTTCTTCAGTCATAGAGTAGTTAGGAAGTGGAACAGTCTGGCAAGCGATGTAGTGGAGGCAGGAACTATACATAGTTTTAGGACGAGGTATGATAAAGCTCATGGAGCAGGAGGAGAGAGGACCTAGTAGCGGTCGGTGAAGAGGCGGGGCCAGGAGCTGAGTCTCGACCCCTGCAACCACAATTAGGTGAGTACAATTAGGTGAGTACACACACGAGACTAATCCCTGAGCTAAGTGGTGTGTCCTATGAGGAGAGGTGAGAGGAACGCATTCTGATGGTAGTAGATGAAGGAACTGCTATGGGTGATATGATAACATACAAATTGTTAGGTAAGACACATATGCAACAGTTAGGTATCTTTATTTCGAAACGTTTCGCCTACACAGTAGGCTTCTTCAGTCGAGTACATAAAAGTTGATAGAAGCAGAAGATACTTGAAGACGATGTAATCAGTCCATCACCCTGAGGTGGTCAGTCCCTCAGTCTGGAGAAGAGCATTGTTCCATGGTATGAAACAATATAGAGATGAAGTGACAGGATCGAGCGTTATATAGCGCCAAGAGGTGAGACGTAGGTCACTAGGAGAGGTAAGAACTCAGATGTTGGGAGGACAGGTCCCTCTCAAATCCAGCCGTTCTCACTAGTAGAGGTTGTCGAAAGTTGATTGTAGGTCTGTACCAAGATACAGACCTACAATCAACTTTCGACAACCTCTACTAGTGAGAACGGCTGGATTTGAGAGGGACCTGTCCTCCCAACATCTGAGTTCTTACCTCTCCTAGTGACCTACGTCTCACCTCTTGGCGCTATATAACGCTCGATCCTGTCACTTCATCTCTATATTGTTTCATACCATGGAACAATGCTCTTCTCCAGACTGAGGGACTGACCACCTCAGGGTGATGGACTGATTACATCGTCTTCAAGTATCTTCTGCTTCTATCAACTTTTATGTACTCGACTGAAGAAGCCTACTGTGTAGGCGAAACGTTTCGAAATAAAGATACCTAACTGTTGCATATGTGTCTTACCTAACAACCTGTCGGTATTTTATACCATTTTAATGTTCAACATACAAATTACTGAGAGGAATTGATAGTGTGGACTGAGAAAGATTGAGAGATGGGAAGCAGCAGCAAGAAGGCTGCAACTTGAAAACATGGATGACCCTTGCAGCATATATATATATATTATATATATATATATATAATATATATATATATATATATATATATATATATATATATATATATACACAACACTGATTCTGGCTGAAGGAGACTCAAAACCTTGGAAAAGGGTTTAGCAGTGCTAAAACCAATCTCCCCACACGGGGACAATCCCTTTTGGCGTGCAGCTTGCGCTAAACTTTGGACCCAAAAGGCAGCCAGTTTGGTCCCAAGCTGAACCCCCAAAAAGGTGTTGTCCATTTGTGGCGGTTGGTTTTAAACCGCGTACCTTTTTCCCAAAGGTTTTGATTTCTCCTTCCCCAAAAGATCAGTGTTTGTTATATTTCGCCTGCTCTTGGGGAATTTTCCTTGTTTTATTTTTATATAATTATATATATTAAAATATATTTATATATATTTTATATATATAAAATATATATATATTTATATATATTTATATAGTATATATATATAAAAATTACCGTACAAAATGATACACAGACCGAGCCGGGGAGGGGTTGCCCCCCAAAACCCTCTCCGGTAATTTTTTTAACACTCGAAGACAAAAACCCCTAATTATCATGAAAACCCTCTCAGGCAACATGCACCAGCTAAAAAAAATTACATATTCTAAGTTTGTTAGGTTTAAAAACCCCTATCGATTATACAGGGTCTTTAAAGGTGATTTTCACTTGTACATTGTTATAAACCCCCCCAAAACCCCTTTAAAATCTTTTAAACGATGGTTTAAATTGAAATTCTTTGTGTATAGAGATGGAGTTAGATACCTCTAAGTGTATATACATGTTTTTTTGGGGCTGGGGCCCTAGGCTAGTGGTTGAGTTGGAGAAACTAAGTAGTTTTCCTTGCTACAGTCGCCCCCAAGCATAAAGCAGGTTGGGGGCAGCAGCTACAGCCCTGCGTGCCGTTCAAGTCAAAAGTCCAACATGACGGAGAAAGGGCCCCCCCCTTTGGAGGGGGCTGCGGGACGAGGTACGTCTCCGTTGGGAAAACCATTTAAAAAACTCTGGGGGACTCTTAAAAGGTTTAGGCCTTTGACTGTGGTAGGAAAGGCCATAGTCATTTGGTTAGTCAACTTTTTTAAACCAAATTTGGGTCACCCCATTCAGTGAAAAATTAAAATTTAAAATTTGTACGTAAAATTTAAGGGTTTACCTATGGGGGATAGGTTTTGTTGGGGTTTGTAAGAGTTTGATTGATTTTTCTTAAGTCGGGGTGGTGATAAAACCGGGGAAAAATTTAAACAATATAGTTTTTTTACTCACCACATGCCCCTTTTCCCTAGGGCTGCTATTTTAACTTTATCCCCACTAAAATTATTTTATTTGTGGCTGCTAGTTATAATAAATTTTACCCTTTTAAAATTTCCTGTTGGGGATAGTCATAAAAGATACATTAAAAGGGTCCCCGGGATGGAAGCCCCCGTCATTAAAAAACTAAAATATAAACGAGTTGTAAGTTTGGGGTTTTTTTGGCAAATGCCAGTAGTTTTTAAATATTTTCAATTTTGGGCCCTTTGGGGAATAAATTTTTGTATTTCTGTTTTTTTATTTATAATTTCAACAGTAATTTTGGAATGTTCATAATTCTGGTAACAGGGTTTTTGTTAAAGGTTTTGAATGATTGCTTGTCCCGTGTTTCCCTTTTAGTTTTTCTTCGTCTTTACCCCTGTTAGGTTTTGAAAAAGCTTAGGGAATTTTGGGAAAATTTTAAACAGGGTTTTGCTAGTTTGAGGGAAAACATTTTGTTGGTGAGTTATTATTATTATTAAATTTTTATTTTATTATTATTTTTATTATCAAAAAGAAGCGCTTTAAAACCCCAAAAGGGGTTTAAAACGCTTCGTTGGTGAGGGGGGTTTGAACCCCTTGGGCGATGAGGATAGGCAAAGGGCCTGGGGGGGGGGGGGGTTTTTGGTGATAGGGGGTGGTGACGGGATGGTGTCTCAGAGGGAAGGGAAAAAGTGAAAGGGTTTTGAAAGTATTGAAAATTAATTTTATAATTTTCCCGGTTTATATTTTGTATGAAAGTATTCAGAACACTCGTAGAGGTTTGTAGGATAATTGTTATAACTTGTAGGAGTTCCCTTAACCCCCTTCCCCAAGTGAAATTTCTCTTGTATTTTGTTTTATACATTCTTTAAAAGGGGGGCTGTGGTCTTTTTACCCAAAATCTGTACGTTCTTCCTTCAATTTTGGGTTCATTGAAACTTTTAAAGTCATGAAAACCCTTTTATTTTTTCGAATTTGAATGCCTTTAAAAATTTAAAAATCCCTTTATTAAGAAATGACATTTTAGTTGATATTTTATTATTTTTTGACTGATTATGGTTTTTACAAGTAGTTTATTTTAGCTTGTGTAAGTGTGGGTCGTGATTACTGGTTTGTAAACATGTTTTACACGTTCAAGTATGTATGGATGAACGAACATTGTTATTAACTAGTGTAGTGACCTGGTGACAGCGCTAATGTGAACACTAGCTTAATAAGGTTGTATCTTGCAGATCAACATGCTGTCGGAGCAGAAGATGGACCTGGAGCGTAGGATCGATAGTCTCCTTGATGAGAGAGAAGGTCTCAGCTCTCACCTAGACGCTACCTCGGACAGACTCGTTATGTTGGAGAAACAATCCAGAGAGCAGGAGGCCATGGTGAGTCCTGGAGTTGGCACTGTGCCATGGTGAGTTCTGTAGTTGGAACTGTGCCATGGTGTATCCTGGAGTTGGCATTGTGCCATGGTGAGTTCTGTAGTTGGAACTGTGCCATGGTGAGTCCTGGAGTTGGCACTGTGCCATGGTGAGTTCTGTAGTTGGCACTGTGCCATGGTGAGTCCTGGAGTTGGCACTGTGCCATGGTGAGTTCTGTAGTTGGCACTGTGCCATGGTGAGTCCTGGAGTTGGCACTGTGCCATGGTGAGTTCTGTAGTTGGAACTGTGCCATGGTGTATCCTGGAGTTGGCATTGTGCCATGGTGAGTCCTGTAGTTGGCACTGTGCCCTGGTGAGTCCTGTAGTTGACACTGTGCCATAGTTCTGTAGTTGGCACTGTGCCATGGTGTATCCTGGAGTTGGCATTGTGCCATGGTGAGTCCTGTAGTTGGCACTGTGCCATAGTGAGTTCTGTAGTTGGAACTGTGCCATGGTGTGTCCTGGAGTTGGCATTGTGCCATGGTATGTCCTGGAGTTGGCATTGTGCCATGGTGAGTCCTGTAGTTGGCACTGTGCCATGGTGAGTCCTGTAGTTGGCACTGTGCCATGGTGGGGTCCTGTAGCTGGGAACTGTGCCATGGTGAGTCCTGTAGCTGGCACTGTGCCATGGTGAGTCCTGTAGCTGGCACTGTGCCATGGTGAGTCCTGTAGCTGGCACTGTGCCATGGTGAGTCCTGTAGCTGGCACTGTGCCATGGTGAGTCCTGTAGCTGGCACTGTGCCATGGTGAGTCCTGTAGCTGGCACTGTGTCCATGGTGAGTCCTGTAGCTGGCACTGTGCACATGGTGATGTCCTGTAGTTGGCACTGTGCCATGGTGAGTTCTGTAGTTGGCACTGTGCCATGGTGAGTCCTGTAGTTGGCACTGTGCCATGGTGAGTTCTGTAGTTGGCACTGTGCCATGGTGAGTCCTGTAGTTGACACTGTGCCATGGTGAGTCCTGTAGTTGGCACTGTGCCATGGTGAGTCCTGTAGTTGGCACTGTGCCATGGTGAGTTCTGTAGTTGGCACTGTGCCATGGTGAGTTCTGTAGTTGGCACTGTGCCCTAGTGAATCCTGAAGTTGGCACTGTGCCCTGGTGAGTCCTGGAGTTGGCACTGTGCCATGGCGAGTCCTGGAGTTGGCACTGTGCCCTGGTGAGTCCTGGAGTTGGCACTGTGTGCCATGGTGAATCCTGTAATTGACACTGCCATGGTGAGCTCTGTAGTCGGCACTGAGGGGTGCCATGGTGATTCCTGTAGTTGGCTGTGTGCCATGGTGAGTCCTGTAGTTGGCAGTGAGTGTGCCTTGGTGAGTCCTGTAGGTGGCACAGCGTGCTATGGTGAATTCTGTAGTTGGCACTGAGGGTGCCACGGTAAGTTTTCTAGGTGGTACTGAGGGTGCCATGGTGATTCCTGTAGTTGGCACTGAGGGGTGCCATGGTGAGCCCTGTAGTTGGCAGTGAGTGTGCTATGGTGAATCCTGTAGGTGGCACAGCGTGCTATGGCGAATTCTGTAGTTGGCACTGAGGGTGCCACGGTAAGTTTTGTAGGTGGTACTGAGGGTGCCATGGTAAGTCCTGTAGTTGGCAGTGAGTGTGCCATGATGAGTCCTGTAGTTGGTAGTGAGTATACCATGGCGAGTCTTGGAGTTGGCACAGTGTGCTATGGTGAATCCTTTAGATGGCACTGAGGGTGCCATGGTGAGTCTTGCAATTGGCACCGAGGGTGCCATGGTGAGTCTTGCAGTTGGCACCGAGGGTGCCATGGTGAGTCTTGCAGTTGGCACCGAGGGTGCCATGGTGAGTCTTGCAGTTGGCACTGAGGGTGCCATGGTGAGTCTTGCAGTTGGCACTGAGGGTGCCATGGTGAGTCTTGCAGTTGGCACTGAGGGTGCCATGGTGAGTCTTGCAGTTGGCACTGAGGGTGCCATGGTGAGTCTTGCAGTTGGCACTGAGGGTGCCATGGTGAGTCTTGCAGTTGGCACTGAGGGTGCCATGGTGTCTTGGCACTGAGGGTGCCATGGTGAGTCTTGTTGGCACTGAGGGTGCCATATTGAGTCTTGGCACTGAGGGTGCCATATTGAGTCTTGGCACTGAGGGTGCCATATTGAGTCTTGGCACTGAGGGTGCCATATTGAGTCTTGGCACTGAGGGTGCCATATTGAGTCTTGGCACTGAGGCTCTGGAGTATTCTTGGAGGTTGTTCCGGGGGTCATGACCCCCCCACGGCTCTTTACGCAACTATTCCCCTCAAGGGAGGTTCCATGACGCTGGTGAAGGGCTCTTGATCTAGGGAGTTGAATCTGTGCTCTAGTTGCCTGAATACCTTCTATCCCCCCCATGTGCTGTGTAATCCTATGGGTTTAGCGCTCCCCATGATTATAATAATTCGTAACCATCCTCGTGGTGGATCAGGGCCTGATCAACCAGGCTGTCACTGCTGGCCGCACGTAAATCGACGTACGAGCCACAGCCCAACTGGTCCGGTACCGACTTTAGGTGGCTGTCCAGCTCCTTGAAGACAGCCAGGGGTCTATCGGTAATCCCCCTTATGTATGCTAGGAGGTAGTTGAACCGTCTTGAGCCCCTGACACTGTGTTACCCCTGCTTTTCACTGGGGAGATGTTGCATTTCCTGCCGAGTTTTACGCTTTCGTAGGGAGTAATTTTCGTGTGCATATTTGGGACTAGTCCCTTTAGGATTTTCCAAGTGCATATTATCATGTATCTCTTCCCGCCTGCGTTCCAAGGAGTAGAAATCAAGGGACTTCAACTGTTCTCAATAATTTAGGTGTTTTATCATAATAGCTGGGTTGAAAGTTCTCTGTAAATTCTCAGGGTCTTCAGTTTCACCTTGTAAGGGGCCGTTAGTGTACGGTAATATTCCAGCCTAGAGAGAACAAGTGATTTGAAGAGAATCATCATTGACTTGGCACACCTAGTTTTGAATGTTCTAATTATCCACCCTGTCATTTTCATAGCAGATGTGGTAGATACTTTGTTGTGATTTTTGAAAGTGAAGTTCTCTGACATTATACCTCCCAGGTCCTTCACATTAGTTTTTCGCTCTGTTGTGTGGTTGGAATTTGTTTTGCACTCGATACAGTTTTTATTTCCTCGAGTTTTCCAAAGCTGAGGAATTGAAATTAATCTTCACTGAACTTCATAATGTTTTCTGAAGCCCATTTAAAGATTTGGTTGATGTCCGTATGGAGATTTGCAGTGTCTTCGATGATGACACTGTCATGCAAATTCGGGTTTCATCCGGAAAGGAGGACACTGCCATGGCTAGTGTTGTACTTTTTCGTCACTGCAGCGGGTATGGGGTGAAAGAGATTTGCTAGTATGGGAATAACCTCGACTGAAACACTTCACCATGTGTTGTCAGTTACAACACTGCTACAGTGCCTAGCCCCTGAGGCTACAGTGTTCGTTCAGAATATTTACCGTAGCAGGTTCCAACACACGTTCGGGATTGAGTAATGTATTGGTGAAGGAATGAGGCAACCAAGTTTGTGAAAATAATTCCTTTTATAACTGTATTTGTAACTTAATTAGCATGTTTTTTTTTTGTATTTTTTTGGAGAAGCCAGACACAAACTTGATGTTGAGCTAATATATTCCGGAGAAGAATGTTCAAAACTATGGCAGTTGTGTAATACAAACAATACTCGCATTCCCATGGACGAACGGTCATGCTTGAATTTATAGTTAGTGGAGTATGGTATACGATCCTTCTGTAACAGGGCCGTTCTGAGTCCTCGGATGACAGTGAAGGGTAGTGATAGTGGCGGGTCAGAGTAAACCTTCAGTTAACACTGAGACTGGGGAAAACTACCAAATTAAGTCTTCTGGTGATATTTGGGTTATTGATGAGGCCACGATGGATCACTGGATACCGTGGTGTAACTTAGGTCATGGTGGATCCCTGAGCACCGTAGTGTAACTTACGCCTGGGCGGATCCCTGGTACTGGAGTTACCATGGGATATTAACGTTACTCGCTAACATCCCATGATAACTCGTTAAGCCCAAGTTGTCTGGTAGACACATGAAACAAATTAATAACAAGTCATAGCAAAATTTGACCATTTACAACTGTTGATCACAGTTGAAACCTTCATACAATCAGGAGGTAAATAATGAATGACTGAACAAGGTGTTTCAACGAGGACTGCGGGTATGTACGAATCTATAGCTTGTAAATATCTTCAACAGTTGAGGAACCGAGACAGAGACCTGGACGACCTGAGGCACACTAATCTCTCCCTGACGGATCGTCTGGAGGCCTACAGCAGGAACTCTTCCTCTCCGTCCATGGGTCACACCTCCCTCCAGAATGAGATTGATATGAGCGATCATGAAGGTGAGTGAATCAAGAGTTAATGTCTCCAGTGAAGTAGTAGTGAAGGATGTTTATAACATCATGGCTGGACCACGATAATCTTGACTGTTTTTCCTCAACAAATGGCTTGAATTGTGCATGCCTTTATCTGAAATTCACAACTGACCCATAATTCGGAGAAAAACTTAGCTGTTTTATTCTGTCCTTAGTGATCATCTGGGACGGACGAAACTGATCAAGTTTACTCTAAACGGGAGTTAGTTGCCAAAAAAAATGGGTATATTTAATAGTCAGTATTCTAAATTATAGGAAACATTTGTAAATTCATGGAAAAAAATACTTCTTGTAAGAAAAGCAAATAACACTGAGGTTTCTCTGGAGGTTCAGTATTAATCTGCTGGAATCAGTTTTACGGTTTAATAACCCATCTCAAAACTCAGAAGTGAATGCGGATAATCTTGTAACTCGGTGCTTTGTAAATTAACTAGAACAATTGATTACCTCTTCAGCATTCACCTTCTCACCTTTCACCACAAGAAATGGCTTCCGTTATTCCTTCCTACCCCCCACCTCATCTCTTTCCATTTCTGACCATCAATCCTCCCCCCCCCCATCCTAATTTGATCTGCTTCCGTTTTCATCTCTACCCAGTTTATCTGTCATTCTCTTGTTTTCATGTCTTACCCATTTTTTTTTAATCTGCTCCTTTCGATTTGTCCACTTCCCTTTAATCTGTCCAGCCCTTTTCATATTGCACACTTCATTTGCCTTGCTCCCTGTCTCTTAATTTAACCTCTTACCCGTATATAACAATTTCTCTAATCCTTTACTCTCGCAACACAAAATGTAGTTTGACGTTTCATCAGCCTTAATGTAATGCTTCAGTGTTCTTGTTATATTGCCACTGCTTCTTTGATGGATGTTGTTCCACTTACCTCATGTTTTCTCCCATAGTGTCTCGGCCACACTCTCACCCCAGCATACCAGAGAACTTACTTGACCTGGAGGAGGACGACATCATAGAGTGCGACGACCCACTCTTCCCCTCCACCGACTCTGAATCACTCAAGACGGTGAGCACCTCTACAGACTACTATTTATTATTTTCTGCTGCCACTCCGTCTCCTTTTTTACTATCAAGGCCGGACTTTAACATAGGCTAACCAAGTCATAGCTTAAGGCCACAATGTAGTGTTGCCTAGGTCGACTTTCATTTTTTACCATCTGGACAGTTTAGGCCTCAGAAGGTCAAATTCCGGCCTTGGTCACTGCTACGAGTACTGTACCTCACTGCACGCCTCTCTTCTAAGCTTCTCTAATAAAAATTACTTTAGTTATAAAGAGACATTAGTTGCACGTAAGACACACATCTTTGTCATTCATACCCTTTAATTACCTGTATTACATTTCTGCTTTAATGTATATCTACGTTGTTTGAGTGTATTATAAATTGTGTTGTGAAATTTGCACTGATGTTCGTAAGGCCCTATACAAACTTTCTTTTTTCTATTCTTTTAACTATTACAACAATCGGTGTCCTTAGTTCGAAGACTCAGTGATTAACTTAGTGTTGAAGTGACACAGGTTTAAGGTGTTCCTCACTTTGCCGCTATTATCCACTACAGTTAATATATTTATCCTGATGAGACAAATAGCATTAGCAAATAAGTATCAAATAATTTAACTTTATGATAGTTACTGTCCCCGGGATCAATGACTTATAATTAATAATGAATAATGAAAATAAAAAAGTTACATTATCTAGAGGCACACACAAACAAAACGATATTTAACAAATACCACGGTGGTACTTGTGCGTACATATAGTTACTGGAGCTAGAAAAAAAAGCTAGTGATTCTTTTATAAATTTGCGCCGGTAGCGAGACGCTGTGAACCTCGTAGAGGGTTTCCGGGACATAAAAGATTAACAAGTAGCAGACAAGATAGCAAAGACAGTCACTGATTTAATGAATCTTGGACTACCTCACGGCTTTCACATCTGGCAAAGTTAAATTCAAAGCTCAGTTAATCTTGTCAATTTATTTCAACTATTTTAATTACAACATCGAAGAATATATTGCGAACATTTACTCAGGATCAAGGGGAATTGAGGGCAAGTTAGCATGTGCACCTACCAGTATATTAGACTCAGCGGTTATGTGAAATCAACCTGTATGCTAATGCTGTACGTGCCAAGTCTCGTAATGGTCAGATTTGGCGATAAATAGTATAAAATACCTATACCATGGAAATGTAGAGGCAAATACAGTGTCATGCGTACCTTTATTAACTACGTTTCTCCCACACAGTGGGTTTTATCAATTCACAAACAGTGTTTGTGACTTGATAAAGACCAGTGTTTGTGACTTGATAAAGACCACTGTGTGAGAGAATCGTAGTTAATAAAGACTCAAGTTACACTACATTTGTCTTTTATTTTTCCAATGTCAGATTTATTGCCTTGTATAAAATTTGATTTACATGCACTTAAGTAGCCCTGAACGGCTAATAAGTTTAACGCTTCTGTTAATATAAAGTAATTCATTACCTTTGATACTTGGGCTAATATAAATGCTAGAAATTTTGTATGCGTCTCTAAGGAATTAAAAAAAAATGTCCCCCACTTAAAAAAAAAAAAAAAAAAAAAATTATCTTTACCTTACACAACTCTTAGAAAAATACATATACGTACAGTAAAGTGACTCGGAATGCAATACACGAAGATGCATAACTAACGAGAGGTCATGTTAATTTGAAAAACTTATCATTAACCTTATATATATTAAGTTTTGCATATTGCATTAACAATACTAGGCAAAATAATTTTTTTTTGTGCATGATGCTTCTGTAATTAACTAGCTAAGAAGATATTTTCAGATTATTGCATGGCTTTTTCAGTGTTGTAGTGTAAAGCTTCATATCTTTAGTTTAGACAGAGAAACATTGTTTTATTGCTTATTGCATTGTTGACAGTATGTGATTTTCATTATCTAATATCATTTCTTTGTTTCTTTTCAAGGGCACAACTAGTGTAAGTGACACCAGCAGCAGCCTGATATAGTTCCCGGCACCACATTAGTAGTACAGTCTCACTTCACATTAAATTGGGCTTAAACGCTGGCAAGAATTTAAACAATTCTCTCTCAACATTAATATTAATCACCGGGACGTCAATGCTTGATATATTTTATTTCTCTTCATTCAAATATTTCTTTTTCTAGATTTCATTTATTGGTTTTGATTCTCACTGATACACTCAGGGTTTTATTTTCTATAAAATAGCTTCTGAGGTGCTGCTAATAAAACAATGCTGGATATTGTCTTTGGTTTTGTAGTGATGTAGCGGTGTTTGTAGTTACTACTGGGTATCTTAGCCTGAATAATATAAGAAATTTAATATTAAGTTGGTATCAGTGCACGCCTTTATTGTGTCACGAGTCGGTTACATTATAATACACTGGTAGTTTGGCTTAAACATCCCCTTAAGGAAGGTAGTTTGATGCCGGTGACGAGTTCTTGATCTAAGGAACTGGATTTGCTTTCTCCCCCCTCCTTGGAGGAAACCAAAATGCCTCCCATTCCTCAGGCACTATATGATCCATATGGGTTTAACGCTTGCCCCTGATTAAAATAAATAAAAATTTATTTAAACAACATGTTTAAGGTTAGCGTCTACACAAATTATTGTGACATGGTAGCATTACATATCTTGTGTGTTGTACAATGTGAAACTAAAAGCACAGCATGCAGGACAGTAGCCCAATTAATGTAGCCATATGCAGGCATGTAACTATATTGGTAAGTGTCTGTTCTTGTCGGTATTCAAATTCGTCAACAAGTTCAGTAACAAAGCAGACATCTGTTTACTTAAACACTAATTTGAATATTGACATTAAGTAGGGGAAAAAATAGCACCTCGTTATGAAATTATGTTAAGTTCTTGTATATTTGACAGTTAAATAATGACAAATATTACATTAGTCATTAGAACTATGTAATCACCGTTAGGTTTAGATCTGTTTTAATAAAGTCTTGGTGAAATACATTCTAGGAGTGACTCTAGTGGTTAACCCCTTTGTCCCCCTACAGCTGCGACATGAAGTTGTGGATGCTGTCGGTCAGCTGCGTGTGATGATTGACCAGTTGAGACACAGACGCAGAAACTCACTTACCTCGCTCTCTACCAACTCCTCCGATGAACTCACTCCTGATAAACTTAAGGTGAGTGATTACCTCTGCAATCTACATTATTTATTAGGAAAACTTTTATATTGGCCTAGAAATTTAGCTGAGATGTAAAAAAAAAAAGCCCCACACAGAAGACACAAAATAGTGTACAAGAATTATCTCCTGGATCGAGACAGAGCTGTTATACAACAGTTTGTATAAATATTGGAAGAGTTAACAAAGAGGAAACAAGGGCACATGGACAACTAATTCGACATAAGGTCTCCTTTGAAGAGGTTTAGCAAGCTAATACAAGCAATATAAGGATACAGAGGTATGTAAATGGAACTTGGTGAAGGGTAAGATGAACATGAGCATTGCAATAGGCTTACTGGTCTGTTAGTAGTAATAGAAGTGACATTGTTATTTGATGGCAGAGTTCACAGTTTTAAGGAGGATTCTTGCTAAATATTTGAGATGATGATAATAATGGTCTTGAGGAAATATGTTATAACCAGGTAAATGAACATTAAGTTGATTTAACCTAAACATTCTCCAGTTATTTCACAGTAACCAGTTTAATATAATTGTCACGTGGTAACTTACACAACCTAACATCATTGAGGTAGACACACCAGCACCAAAAGTTTAAAGCAGACCAGAAGATACACTTTTCTAGTTATTGCACAGACTCCAACAAAATTTGTGCCTACACAGCCTAAACCCATGAAACTTTCCATCCTTTGTGAATTATTATGTGAACAAATCACCTGCAGGAGGCCTACAGGGCCTTACCTGAATTATTACCTGCAAGTAATTTGGGTGAGGTAAGTGGGACTCAAGTCACAGCTGGTCGCTGAACTGTAACTCCCTCGATGCCCACTTCTTCACCACTCTCACAAAAAGCTAGACCTGACATTAAATTAATAATTGTAATACTAAAACCAGCTACTCTAGTAAATTAAACAGACATATTCTCTAGTTATCCCCTAGTTCCCTATTCCCTAGAGCACTCAGCTCGCACACTGAAGTCCGGCGTTTGAATCTCCGGTACGGCTGGAAAACATTAGGGACGTGTTTCCATAAGACACCTGCTGTCCCTGTTCACCCATCAGTAAAATGAGTACTTGGGTGTTAGTCGACTGGCGACTGGTGTGGGTCGCATCCTGGGACAAAACTGACCTAATTTGCCCTATGTGCTCAGCATAACAAGCGGCTTTCTATACAGTAGTATGTCATTGATGCCAACTAGGACTGTATACCTTGTACATGTACTTGCAGAAATAAAGATATTATAATGTTAAAAGTTTGAAGCCGATCAGAAAATCAGTTTTCCACTAACAGATATGATTCTAATGATCCCAATAATTTTTTTTTAGCTATCAGTAACATCAAATTTGCACCTACTCAGATTATACTTATGGAGTGTCATCCATCTTATAGATTTGCATCGTCAATAATGTTTGGAAGCCAATCTGAAGCATTCTTTAGTTTTGAATAGAAAATGATTTTCACTGTTTAATAAATTGGTAAATTAGGACTTTTGCCACCCCATGGCAGTGTGAGCCATGCCACCCCATGGCAGTGTGAGCCATGCCACCCCATGGCAGTGTGAGCCATGCCACCCCATGGCAGTGTGTGAGCCATGCCACCCCATGGCAGTGTGAGCCATGCCACCCCATGGCAATGTGAGCCATGCCACCCCATGGCAATGTGAGCCATGCCACCCCATGGCAATGTGAGCCATGCCACCCATGGCAAATGTGAGCCATGCCACCCCATGGCAGTGTGAGCCATGCCACCCCATGGCAATGTGAGCCATGCCACCCCATGGCAATGTGAGCCAATTACCACCCCATGCAATGTGAGCCATGCCACCCCATGGCAATGTGAGCCATGCCACCCATGGCAATGTGAGCCATGCCACCCATGGCAGTGTGAGCCCATGCACCCCATGGCAGTGTGAGCCATGCCACCCCATGCAATGTGGAGCCATGCCACCCTGGCAATGTGAGCATGCACCCCATGGCAATGTGAGCCATGCCACCCCATGGCAATGTGAGCCATGCCACCCATGGCAGTGTGAGCCTGCCACCCCATGGCGTGTGAGCCGTGCCACCCATGGCAATGTGAGCCATGCACCCATGGAATGTGAGCCATGCCACCCCATGGCAATGTGAGCCATGCCACCCCATGGCAGTGTGAGCCATGCCACCCCATGGCAATGTGAGCCATGCCACCCCATGGCAATGTGAGCCATGCCAACCCATGGCAGTGTGTGAGCCATGCCACCCCATGGCAGTGTGAGCCATGCCACCCCATGGCAGTTGTGAGCCATTGCACACCCCATGGCAGTGTGAGCCATGCCACCCCATGCAGTGTGAGCCCATGCCACCCCATGGCAATGTGAGCCATGCCACCCCATGGCAGTGTGAGCCATGCCACCCCATGGCAGTGTGAGCCATGCCACCCCATGGCAGTGTGAGCCATGCCACCCCATGGCAGTTTGTGACCATGCACCCAATGGCAGTGTGGAGCCATGCCACCCCATGGCAGTGTGAGCCATGCCACCCCATGGCAATGTGAGCCATGCCACCCCATGGCAATGTGAGCCATGCCACCCCATGGCAGTGTGAGCCATGCTACCCCATGGCAGTGTGAGCCATGCCACCCCATGGCAGTGTGAGCCATGCTACCCCATGGCAGTGTGAGCCATGCCACCCCATGGCAGTGAATATTGGGTTAATGAAACAGTGGTGATAATTTTAAGTCTACCAGATGAGTCTTCAAGGAGGGTTCATTGCTGTGGTTGAAGAGGCTTGTAATTTAGGGAATTGGGCCTTTGAATCTTCTTCCTAGGACCAAACTTAAATGCCCTTCCCCACTCAGTTTTTCCCACCCCACCTCTTATCCCCTTCTCTCCCCTCTCCTCTCTTTCCTACTTTAGGTGTTTGGGGATCTTCCCTCGGAAATTATAGCTCCTGGGTCAAAGAAAGAGAATCTTTGTCCATTCCATTCCGTTGAGGCCCTTTGATCATCTTGGGATGTGCTATCTGCTCTACGGGGTTCCGGAAGGCGGCTTTGCGTGTCCTTAAGTTGGTGGGTGCTGGAGGCTGCCTGTCGGTTCCTGGAGGTAGCAGCAGCAGCAGCAGCAGGAGGATGTATAACTTGTGACGAGCTTCCGACCACCCTGTTTTTGTCTGCCGAGGTGGCTTGGTGGATGTGAGGTCATCGTTAAATATCGGTTTTCTGGCATGGGTTTCATGCAGCATCTACACTACCAGTTACACTGAGGGTCCTCTCAGATGCGGAAGGGGGATAAACTATCTGTGTGTGTCTCCTTGGAGCTATGAGTACATTCACAACCTTATCATGGAGACATATCCATGAACTTCCTCCCTCCCGGGTAACACCTCGTTGCCCACCTCCGGTACCGAGGTTCCGACTGACTCTTGATTCTGGCTTTCCCCTCTACAGTGCCTCGATTTGAGGATCGTCCGTACTACTGAAAACACTAACTCCTGTACCTCGTTCAAACGACCAAACAACCCCAGCCTGTAACAAGGAAACTAAACCTGTTACCTCTCGCTCTTGTTCCCAGAAACCCCTCAAGGGAGGTTCCTTGATGCTGGTGAGGGGCTCTTGATCTAGGGAATTGGATCTGTGCTCCAATTTCCTGAATTGAACCTGAATACCTTCCATCTCCCTCCCCCACATGCGCTGTATAATCCTACGGGTTTAGCACTCCCCCATGATTATAATAATGTTCTCAGAAACGAACTGCTCAACAATTTCTTCCCTTACAATCTGTCTCAACGCTCACACTCGTCGATTAAATTGTTTAATTTTCAGCCGACGTCTCCGACAGACTATCTTTCAAATCATAGTATCAGCAAGGCGCTCTTGCGACGAGTTCGATTAAATATTTCATGTTCTCAAGAGTAGTGTATGTATAGTCAACGCTGAGCAGATCACGGGGAGACATTGCACAGTAATTTCCCAATACTTAGGGAGTAATGCCACTTTTATATCACAGGGAGTTGTCCAGTTCCTTTTCCCCGTACCATAACAGAGAAGGCGTTCTATACTCTCGTCTGGGATATCGAAGGATAGTTCCAAGTGTTTCAACAAACACTGACTTATGTCGGTCTGGTCATAACTCTAGAGGTGAGAGCATGATGGAGTTGGTCATATTTGGTATCACGTCACTACTATGATTTTTAAACTAATTATTTTGAATTATGTGAGTAAATTACCTGCATGAAATTTACAGGGTATTACCTGAATTATTATCTGCAAGTAATTTGGGTGACATAAGTGGGACTTAGTCACAGTAGGTCGCCATACTGTCACTCCCTCGATGCCCACTCCCACAAAAAAGCTAGACCTGACATTAAATTAATAACTACAATATTAAACATTAATACCAATAACGGTAAATTATAAAATAATGTGAACTGTATATGATTAGGCTTGCTGGGTACACAAGAAATTCGTATAACGACTTGCCATTTAATTACTGGATCATAATTATTTTATGAAAACTCGCCCTAATGCTACCTCTACAGCTAGGATTTATGATGGCCAGCACAAAAACTACTGTACATTATGGGCCTCTCAAGGGGGGCTCCTTGTCGTGGTGAAGAGGCTCTTGGTCTGAGGAGTTAGACCTGTCGGTCTCCTTCCTCAGACCGAACCTAATTACCCCCCAATCCCCCCTTCCCTATCCCATCCTCCCCTTTTTCCTTTCCTCCTCCCCACCCCTCCCTTTTGCCCTTCCTCTTTTTGGCCTTTGGGATTTTTCCCACAGGCACTCTAGTTCCTAGGTAGGGGAAAGGGTACCGGGGTCCATCCCATTCCGTTGAGGTTCTTGGCGGTGGCTTAGTTTGCCGTAGAATCTGGATCGCCTGGGGATGTCCCGATCCCTCTCCGGTATCCCGGAGGGTGGCTTTGGGTGTCTTTCGGGCAACGAGTGTATCTCTGGAAGCCACCTTTCAGATTCTGAGGGTGGTGGCCAAAGGAGTTATGCTTTGTGGTGGATATCTGGCCGCCCC